ATGGTACACAGTCAACGTGGGAGGAACGAAGAAGTTTCGAGGCGGTAACGGCCCTCGTTAATATGATATACCGGGCGATAGCGTAGCCAAACTAATGATGCCGGACGCGAGAGAGAGAGAGAGAGGGACTCTCATCGTCCGTTTGGCCTGTAAGTGGCGCGCAAGTTCGATTCTATAGGCTCATCGGTGTCCCTCTCGGGCCACGCTATTTGGATAATGCAAGTGACATAGTGTATATAGGAATCCATACTTGGTACACCGAAAATTTGACGCAACGCTTTGCTTAAATGTATTCCGAGTCTATATTGGGTATATTTAAGAGGTACAAGGACGACGACCAATCGAGCGTGTACCAATGGGCTATTACGTCGATATTTGGAGAAAAAAAAAGAGAAAGAGTGGGGAGATAAGACGGTGGAAAAAAAAGGAACGATATTGACGCTTTGGGCGACCGGAGCCGCCTTATCTCTCCAACAGAGGCAAAGGCTGCATTCATAATCGAGCCGTGCTCCATAATTTACTTGTCAGGCGTGTATATATCTTATGGTTTATCGGTCTGCTCGGGCTCATCGTCCACGAGTTTTGTTACTTTACGTCCCACGCTTTTCTCCCTTCCTCCCTCTCTCTGTTCCAATATACCGCCAAATCGATTGCAACAAACAAATATGCAACATGTTCCGTGGTAACAATATTATTGACTAAAATATTGAACGAGTCGAGAGAGAGAGAGAGAGAGAGAGAGAGAGTATGTTGTACACCGATAACCTGATTGCCCCTTCGCTCCGATACTATCAATGTGCACAAGCGTATGGATGGAGGTACACTGTGAAATAAGATCTCAGCGCCTGTCGATTGAATCACTGTACCGGTTAAGTACAAGGCATACGACATTCCAGCCAACTTGAAACTCCCGGCAGAGCCGCGACAGCAGCTCGCGTGCACCCACTCCCCCGTATTATAATTATAGCCAAGACCGTGTTAAATCAGTTTCGTCATTAGACGCTGTGCGCACATTTCTGTTGTTCGGGAGGGAGATGTATATCCCAGCGGTGGTCCCGTTTCGCCTCGCGCTAATCCGATTACTAGCAGTATATATCCGATCTATCCGTAGTAATTCTCCGAGTGTATTCGGTACAAACAAACGCGCTAACGCATAGCTGATGAATATCTTGGGCTGGTTAACTCGACTCTCGCGTGCAGATGTGCCACCATGCATAATAACCATCGATTCTCCAAATGAAAATCCGCCCCCTCCTCCTTCCCTTGCACCATTGGGAAAATTAAAAGGTGGGTTACAGGTAAACGGGATTTCCCGTAAAAATCGTCTCTGCGAGGTCAAAGTTAACCGGCTCCCTTGATGATGAGCTCCCGGGCGTTTTAAAGTAGCCTTTGTGCATCAACAAATAAGCCCCCTGGCGTTCTCTGCCGTCGCGCCGTCAGGTGCCGAGGAGGAAAATGGGTAAAAGAAGACTATACGGGGATAAAAGAACCAAAGGAAATGTATATAGCAGAGCGGATCACCGGGCTCTATCGGGTTATGCTTAATTAATGACAATGGAAATGCTCTTAGCCGTCCCTCTCCCTATCTCCTTGGATTTCCCGTCATTATTCAACTGACGGGACATTATGCAAAATTTGACGAAGAATCTCTGCTCCGGTTATTGTAATTCACGCGAGAGCCACAGCAGTAGATACAAGTTTGTGTGTGCGCTCGTGCCGTTAACGAAATAAGGTCAGCAGGGAAAGGCGAGAAGAGGTACGGAAGAAGTGAAAAAAAAAAAAAAAAAAAATGCACACGCGTGCTACTGCAACTCTCGAGATTTTCAAGCTCCCATGTATATTCAAGTGGATCGTTGGACTCGGGAGAAGTGGTGCTCCGAGGGCGTGATTCGCTGACGCTTACTCGCGATTACGCGGGCAGTAGTCTCTCGTGCCAGTTTAATCCGCGTGTGTCTTTTATTGCTCGGGGGAAGTAGTCCTTGTTGGGTGATCGAAAATGCTCATAGAGCCACGAGATGACTGTTACACTCCCTAGTCTTAGTGAATCGGTAACCGTTCAAAGATTTACTTGACTGTTCAAAATTAGGTCATTGTCGTTAAAACGACAAACCACCGAGTTACATTGTATGAATGTATTAATTGTAATTATTACCGATTTTACTTGTTTCTTCCTCCCCCCCCCCCTTACTTATTTGACCAACTTTCGACTACTTCGGCGAGCGCGAACAACAAAAATCACACGAATGAAACTCCTTCTCTGTTAATTATTTCGCAAGGTAGGCCGACTTTCCGCGTCGAGTTGAAGTTCACGCGCAAAGTTTCCGGAACGCTCCGGCTGGATACAATTATCCTAATTTCCGCATACATAAGATTAAGACGTATAGGCATATATATGTGTGTATATGTACACGCGGAGCAGGGCATCCAAGTGTATAGGCTTCAATCAGCGAGACGCTCTGCAGCTCTGCGTTCGACGCCATCATTTATTATGTACGTACGAGCCTGCCATTAGAAATTCGGCACGCGAAACGCTCTTTATTAAGTATGCTTTATATACCCGGCGGAAAAGTTTGCCCGAGAGATGAGATGAATATCCTCGGTAGCACACGCATATATACATACTATATGACATGGGAAAACTCTCGAGTCTACTGGTGTTGGCGCGATGGTGTGCGATTCAAACAGGTGCAGTAAACTAGACGTCACGAGAACAATATTTATACATATAAAGTATACTTTAGCCTATACGTAGCACAAGTCTTTATTCCGGCCGTCCCGTTCGCTCGTGCCGAGAAACGCGAGTGAGGGCACGCGCACACGTTAAGGTCACATCGCGGAGATAAGTATGCAGGCGTGTATGGAGGCAAGGCGTGAAGTTATTCCGATGTACACGCAGCCTCGGCGACATACACTTTCTTCAAAGAGCCGGCTCGCAGTCAGCCAAAAGAATAGATTACACGGATACAGGTATACACGCGCACGACTCACGCATTTGGCAAATATATGGCAAGTAAAGAGGGCCCGACCAGATAAATATGCCCGGCTTCTGTATAGTATATTCTATATACTTTTCCTACCAGCGGACGGGGGGAGGAGGAAAAAAGAAATTCGTCGAGGTGCATGGCGAATGTATCCGGAAACGCGAGGGCAGATCCGCGGCAGCAAGGATCAGAACTACGCGCCAAGTTATTTTCTCGAATGTATGAATGTATATGTGTATGCGCGATGAAAAATACATGGCGCATAACGAGGGAGCGCGAACGGGAGTTGGGAGTACCGACGGGGCTCCCGTTCATTCTTATATGGCGAAAAATCGATTTGCCTGCACGCACGCGCGCATACATATATGTATAACATGTGTATATGTACGAATATACGTGTATATTTTATATGCTGTATCGGTGGTGGACGTAAATCACACTCGTGTGTACATGCATATACCTACCTATAGAAGCGCGAGTAAGTATCTGCTAGACAAACCTATATTTAAAGTAATGCCTCTGAAAACAGCCCGTCGTTTTTTCGTGTTTTCGTTTATTTTACTATTTATCCGATGTGGGTATGGATGTGCCGTGCCGACGTGTAAATATAAATGTGTACCCACACGGGGTCTTGGTGGGCGATGTATACCTATATGCTACATATAGAGCTGTACACGCGTACCGTGGAATCAATACGGTCGAAGGTACACGTGTACCTATTCGTCGCGGCGTCATCGACCCTCGAGAGACCAGACTGCGCGTAAGTCGGCCTCGCCGAGGCAATCGCACTACAACGCAATCCTGCATTCGAGGCTAATTACAAACCACATGACCGTGTCGCCCAGCATACAGTGTGTGTGTGCGTGTGTGTGTGTGTGTGCAATTTCAGGTCTACCCTGGGGTACTTACGCCCGCGCCACATGCACCCAAAAGAGAATCATCGCAATCGCGCGCTCACCCTGCCGTCGACGCTGACTTTACAATAATTGCTCGCGGTCGCAGTACCACCACCACCTTTTAACCATCATCATCGTCGTCACCATCATTATGGATTATAGAGGCGAGCCAACATGCATACATATGGGCACTAGCTGCTGTAGCATGTGTGCCAGCCATTTGTATGAGAGTGCACTCACACACACACACAAACATATATACGTGTGTAGCTGCGGACACGCGGGGTAAAGCGAGTTCCCTGTATCCGGAATGGCCCGAGTTGTTGCTCTCTCGTACAATAAACACGAAAGTGATTTCCCGCCGATGGCTGCCATTCCCGTTCGTACGAATACAACTGCCACCTGTGCATAGGTGGGGGCGGGGAGCTGGCTGGTATTATTGTGAGTTATTTTACAGCCGCGCGCCAACGGGAGTCCAGCGTGCAAAAGAAGTGCACTGCCTCGAAGCTAACGTTGCAAACACCATTGCGTCATACAATGTGCACATATTCCCTTTACTCATTGGAAAACAATTTCACGACCGTATATGAGTTGCAAATGATTTTTTACGCGCCCAAGTAGAACAAACCGAGTTTGGTCAGACGTCCAAGTTTTTCGGATCCCTCGGACAACAAGATATATATATATATATA